TCATTTTAACTGTACCCAGTACTTGTACATATTTACATGGTATCATGTGTCATTTCATCATATTTCTATGTTGTTCAGTGATTACATCCAGATACTATTGATATTAACGCAGACATTTATCCTTCTGTTTGGGAAAAATTGAAAATCCTTTCTACTGATTGTTTTGAAAAATACAATTAATAGTTGGAAAGCATAGTGCTTTGTTGTGTGACACTGAAGTTGCCTTCTATGAAATTACAAAGATGCGCCATTGAACTACCCTGTGTATGTCCCCTCTCCCTTGCACCAGCGATTTGGTAACTATAACTTTAGTCTCTACTTTTGCAGTATCAACATTTTAACTTCCAAATACAGGTGAGACATGGTGGTGGGTTTTTTTTTTTTAATTTCATTTTATTTCACTTCATTTTTTGTCATCTGCAACAGAGTTGCATTCTTTTTCTGTCTAAATATTTGTCTATTGTGTAAATATAATGCATTTTTTATTCATCTGCCAGTGGACGACTAGGTTGATTCTGCATCTTGGCTTTTATGGTAAATGCTGAAGAAAAAAAAAAAAAAAAAAAATATATATATATATATATATATATATATATATGGATGTTTCATTTCATTTCATTTCTTTCTTTCTTTCTTTTTTTTTTTTTTTTTTTTTTTTGTACCTAGAATTGAACTCACAACCTTGTGCTTACCAGGCAAGCGTTTGAGCCCCTGAGAAAACCCCTGGTCCTAGATGTTTCTTTTGACATACTATTTTTCAGTTCCTTTCAAACAATTTTTCAATTGCAGTAAGACAAAACAAAACAAGGCTGCCAAATAGTCTGCAATCCAGTGACCTTACAATAGTTTGTGGTTAATTCTAGCCACAAAAAATAGTGTATAGTTGGGCATGTTGGCCCACCTGTAATCACAGAATTTGGGAAGGTGAGACAGGAGGATTGTGGAAGTTCAAGACCAACCTACCTTTCTTGTCAAAAAAAAAAAAAAAAAAAAAAAAAAAAGTGGTACATCCAGCATCCAGATTCTGTATTTGTCAAAGTATCAGTTATGAATAATATCTTTAGGTTACTGCTTGAATACCTGTTGTTTGTGAGGCTCTGTTCTAGATAATTTACAGACACTGTTCATTCATACTTTATAGTATATGTGCAAAATATGTAGTGTGATTGCTCTGTATTTTAGAAAACTGAAGTTCAGAAAAGTTTAGGTAGCTTTCCTAAGAGACCCTGGGCTCTGAGTAACAGTAGTTCATAATTCGGATTGATAACTTCAAAATCTTGCTGCATTTCCTGTTGTCTCATAGATGCTATCTTACCACTCTCTCCACTGATATACCTCTTATGGACAGATCCATTTACATTTCTTGTACACATTTTAGATTTGTGCAAAAATTATATAAATGGCTGTTTATAATTGATATTTCACAATCTCAATAAACTCATTAATATAGGAAATATCATTATGTGTAGCATAAATTCATTCTGTATTCCCCCAAAATATTGATGGCAAACATTGTAAAAATATTTGCAGAGCAAAAGATTTATAAAACTGTGATGTATTATTTATTTAAGCATCTTATGTCACACAAACTTCAATGGAATAAAAGAATTTAGAGAGTTTCTAGGAGTTTGTTGTAATATCATTTAATTTGTTGACATAATCTAAGACTCGATAAAGTAAAACTTTTTTTTAACTTTTCCTCAGATTTCAAAATAATGTTAGTTTTGAGGATATTACTGTTTTATGAGTGTTCATTTTTTGTATGTGTTCAAGTGAATCACAAAAGTACATTAATATTTTTGGGTGTTCACAAACAAAGAATTCAAAGAAGCCAAAATGTAGAAAGAGCTGTGCTTTGAGGAGGCTTACAAAGAAATAGGAAAAAGACACACACCTGACTTCTGTCCAGTGGAATTAAAGAATTAAGGAATTCTAGTGGCCTTTGCCGTTGGGACTTATTATTTTTACTTTTACTTGTAATCATCGGTGCACTGTTGTTGATCTCCTTTACTATACTGTAAAGTTTCGGTTGAAGAGATCTTGACTTATCCTTATTTGTGATTCCCTCCAGCACTTGAATCAATGTATCACACAGTGAGTGGCCCATAAATAGCTCTTCAATGAATAATATATAAAACACTAACAATATAAAACTCTATATCTGATCTGCCAACTGCACGGAACTAGCAGCAAGTGCTGTAGAAGTTCATTGGGATTGGGTTGCTCATGAGAGTTTCCATAGAGGACGGAGTACTTCAGTAAAAATATAAAAAAGGAAAGACACAGAAATGGTGATGGGGTCTCCAGGCAGGTGGGAAAGCATGAAAGGTATTTATAAGCTGGAAATACAGAAAAAAAATATATTTTATGCTTCAGCAGGCACTGAAGATTCCAGGAATAGTATGATTTTTGTAAACAAGTATTGTGGAAGATTGAAAAGAAAGTATAGATCTTTTTCAAGTTTTATTAGTCCATGTTCACAGTTCATAAAGATTACATTCACTGTAATTGGTACATGTAGATGGCATAGCTCAATTCTTGATTTCTCTTTCTCCTTTATTCTGCCAGCATCACATATATTTATTTCCAAGTCCTTGTAAAGTTAATATCACACATACAGATTAACAACCCAACTAACAGGCCAAAAACATACAAAACACATAACATACTTAAACATATATCATAGTACAACTTTAGATCCATTCTCCATGCTAACTTTTTCACTTGCTTTTTATGTACCATCTGTTTTTTAGACTTTATTTCATATATTGTTCTTTATTTATATATCAAGTTTCTCACAAAAATAATAGGTATTTAACTTCGTATGTTTGATTTTGTTTGCTTCACATTGTGGTCTCAGGTACATGCATTTTTCTAAACTGATTCAAGTTTATCTTTATGACAGAATAGAACTCCATTATATACAAATACTACATTTTATTTATCTACGTATTTAGTGATGCACAGATAAAATGATTCCATGATTTAACTTTTTTGTTAGAAACTGCTAGAAACATCAGTATGCATAAATCACTTGGTACAATGTTTTTATTTTTTGTTTTATTTTACATTTTAAGATAAATACCTAGAAGAACACCTGGGTCAAATGCAATTTCTGTTTTTAGTTTTCAGAGGAATCTCCATACTGATTTCCACAATATTTGCACCAGTTTGTACTTCTGTCAAAAATGAAGACGGATTCCTTTTTCCTGCTGTGTTACAGCTTTTATTAGTTTATTTCTTGATGATAGTCATTCCTTCTGGTGTGAGGTGAACCACACTGTTATTTTGATTGTATTTCTTGAATGACCAGAAATTTTGAAAATGTATTTATTAATTATTTGTATTTCATCATATGAGAAGTGTCTGTGACTCTTTTTTGATAAGGTCTTGAAATTTGGGGTCTAATTTTTTTAGTTCTTTCTACAGTTTAGATAACACTCTTCTGTCAGAGAAGTAGCTGGCAAAAAATTTTTCCCATTCTGTAGGTTGTCTCTTCACTTCGTTGGTGGTTCCCTTTGTTGTCCAGAAGCTTTTTAGTTTGGTGTGATCCCAGTTATTTACTTAATATTATTCCATGTGCAACCACAGTTCTGGTCAGAAAGTCTTTATCTACACCTGTGTCAAGTGTTTTACTTATTTTGTCTTTCACGTAATTTAAGTTTTTCTTTTTCTGTTTCTATCTTTGATCCATTCTGATTTCAGTTTAGTGCATGGTTAGAGATATGAGTATAGGTTCAATCTTAGGAGTGTAAATGGCCAGTTTTCCAGCACCATTTGTTAAAGAGGCTGTCTTTCCTCCCATGAGATTTGACTGCTCTGTCATATATAAGGTAAATGACTGTGAGGTGAGTTGTTTTTGAACTCCCTATTCTCTTTCATTGATCTACAAGTCTATTTTTGTCTTAGTTACTTTTCTGCTTGCTGATACAAAATATCCAACATCCTAATTTAAAAGGGGAAAGGTTTATTTGGTTTACAGTTTCTGAAAGTTTCAGTCTATAGTCTACTGGCCGGAAGGTAGCATGGTGTGGCAGAGGGACATCATAAAGGAGCAACAGTCCATTGCAGGCAAGAATACAGAAAAAACAAACAAGCAACAGGAAAAAACTGATAAGTGACAATAGCAACTTCTTCTGACTCTTTTATATTCTATTGAGGCTACATGGTTTAGGGTTGGTGCCAAACCAAATAATGTATTTACTTAGTAATCACACTGTAGATCCATCCACTTTTGAGAAAACCCCAACTATGACTGCATGAGGCTTTGGAGGGTCTTTTAGACGTAAGCCATAATAGCATTTTGTTTTGCCAATGCCTTACTATTTTTATGACTGCAACTGTATTCATAACTTGAAATCTGGGATCCTGATACTCTCTGCCTTGCTTTTCTGCCCAAAATTCTTTTGCTATTCCAGTTAGATAAGAATGTTAAGATTGCTTTCTCTAGTTCTGTGAGGACTGCTGAGGGCTAGTGGTATTTTGGGGGGGATTGTGTTAAATCTATAAGCAGTTTTGAACTATGGCCATTTTGACTACATTGGTTCTGTCCAGCAAGGAACAAAGGATATGTCTCCATTTCCTAATATGTACTACAATCTCTTTTTCATAGCACTGTCCAAATATTAACATGGATATTCTAGTATTTCCTACATATATGTTTATATTGTTAACTCTACATGCTTGACTGATCCACTATGTCATGGGCTTCTTTGTCTCTTCTGATTCGTATTAGCTTCAAATCCACTTTCTCTGAAATTAGGATAGCAACTCTGGCTTTTTTTCTGGGTTCTTGTTACATGGAATGCTGTTTTCCACCTCTTGATTGTTTCATCCAACGTTGTCACAACCAGCCCATCCCATAACTAAGATTACACAGTGGTGTAGTCATCGTTGGCCAGGTTCACCCTTACGCGGCAGGGACCTCCCTCGAACTCCTCTTAGCCTGCCTCACCTGCTTGTCCCTCACTCCTAATTCTCCCTCATCCCCACCTTTCCTCCATCAGGTTCCTTTACTCCACTTTGTCTGGCATGTTTCACAATCCTCCCAGGCTTCAGGCAAGCAGTACCACTCACAATAGTGCTTGGTTATGTAAGGAAAAGGCCGTGGGTTCACTGGGAGTCACACGGGGGAACCTGGAGAACCCTGTCCTGCTACACTTGCTGCTTCCTGCTTTTCTACTGCCCAAGCCACCCCAGCTACCCAGGCCCACCTCTTGATTTTTTATATATCAGTCTTGAAATAAACGAGTTTCTTATATCCTGCATATATTGAGTTTTGTTTCTTGAACCATTCTGCCAATCAGTGTTTTTTAATTGGATAATAGAAATAATTCTAATTAAGAATTGTTACTGAGAGGCACTGACTTAACTTCTTTGTTGCACTATTTTTCCTATTAGGGGTTTTATTATTTTTTTCCCTGTTGCTCAGCTATTTATCCGCCAGGCAAATTGGTTCTTGACTTATTGGCGTTATTGGCTTCATTTTCTCTTTCTAAGATATCCTTAAGAATTTTTTGTAATGCTGGTATGGAGGTCATTAACTTCACCTTAGCATGCTTTTAATTATGAAATATATTATTTTCCTATGATTTTAAAGGACAATTTTGGGGTATATACTAGTCAGGGTAAGGAATTGTTATGTTGTAGAAGCTGGAAGGAATCTAGTTATTCCAAGGCCTCCTAGCCTTTAAGGGTTGTGTAGTAAAATCTTCTCCAATTCTAATGCATTTATCTTTCTTCGTGACTTGTTGCATTTCACTAACTGCTTTTAAGATTTTAGCCCTGTGATGGACTTGTGGAACAGTGGGAACTTAGTTCACAAACTTACTTCTTTCAACAATTCTGGTCACAACCAGAATCAAGGAACAAATTCTGTGACAAGAGTAGTGGGAAGAATTAAATTCATGAACTGAAATACCATAGTATATTGTGATGCGAAATCTTTCTTTTGATCATAGCTTTTTGGAGTTATTTATACCTCATTTATCTGTATGATTATTTTTTCTTATATTTAGAATTTTATGCCACTATTTGTATGAAGAGGTTTTCTATGCCATTTGCATTGTATTCTGGTTTTTACCTTATTCCAGTTATTTTTACCTTGTCTTCTTGGTATCATCTAGCAATAATTAGATTCATTTGCGATGTTCTTTTGTTCTTTCAAGGTGTCTGAATAGTTAGTCTCTGAAGGCATAATTGTCTTTTAACTGTGAATATCTTTCCTGGGCCAGGATTATAGCTCAGTAGCACATTGCCTACCAGTCAAGTGCAAAGTCATATATTCAACTCCCAGGACCCCCAAAAATGTATAAGAAGAAGAAGCAAAGAAAAAAGAAAACCTGTTCTCATATTTCTCAGTCCCAATGCTTTCAATATGATTTTCAATGTCCTTTATTTTTGATTGAAGCCTTTTCATGGCTCTAATTCTTTGGTAAACTGGTCATTCATGTTTTGTTTCATTTTGTTTATCTCATCCAGCTTTTCATTAGTGTCTTCTGAAAGCTTCTGCAACTTTCTGATTATTGTTTTTACTATCTGTTTAGTAATATGTTCTCTAATCTTGCTGAGTACCTCTCTGAATTATTTGTTATCTTTATTGATCTTTGTTATCTTTTCAGTCCAGGTGTGTGGATTAATTATGTAATTGCATCCTCTGCTCCACTACATTGGCTTGGAGGAAGTTGGAAGTTTGAGGAGGCATGTTGCTGCCGCTTTTCTCATATTTCTATTTTTAGTTTTTTGTTTTATGCTGAGTTTTTAGGAGTTTACTATCTACAGACTTTTCTGTTATCGTGAAGATCTCATTAGTTGCTTTTCAGTGATGAATTTAGACATGACTAACTATAATAGTTTGTTACAGTCCCAAAATCTGACCCTTTTGAATAATTTGGGAGAGGAGGATGCAGAGTGCATGGCAAGTAACCAAGTTCTCTGGGAATGTCCTCTAATATTGTTAATATTTCAAAGGTAATATGAATATTGGCTTACAGAGAAATAATGACAATTATGACACACTATTAATATCAAGAGAGTCAGGTGCAATAGTATCATCCAAAACAACGTAGGTATAAGAGCCAGTTGAGCTATGCTTAGTCTAGAGGAAAAACCCTGAAGTATAGTGTAAACATGAAGAAAATGTAGGCATTGATTTACAGCTAATAGGTAGTTATGTTTCTGTGAATGGTAGCACAGACTTTAACAGTAATATTAAAGAACTGTCAATGGATTAGCAAAGTTTTATGATTATACTGTTAAACATATATAATTTGGAAACAGAAGAACAAAAGAGGAGCTTTGAAACTTTAAACTCCATGATATGAGAAGGAGGAGAAAGATGCAGTATAAGGATCTTATTGGTGAGTCAAAGGATATTTACAGAAATCAATGAAGATAAGAGGAAAAATGATGGAAAAAAGGAAACAAAAGAAACAAATTAAATAGGGGAAAATGATAGAAATAATTGAAGGGAGAAAAATTAAAAGGGAAAATACACAAAATGAAAAAAAATGAGAAAAAGATACAAGAAGCAAGGCAGAAAGACAAAGGCATAGTTCCCGAGGCCCAAGAAATTGTTGAAGAAGAAAATAGGGAAGGAAGGAAGAGAAAAAAGGAAAAACACACAAAAACAAAAAACCAAGCAACACACATGCTCACAATAACCAAAAACATAAAAATCCAAAACAAATTAAAAAAAAAAAAAAGAAAGAAATTATACTGATTTTCCAATAACTGCTGTTTGCGGACAATGTCCAATTCCAAATGAGTCCCTAGTCATGCTGGTAGGTAAAGAAGCTAATCAATCACATTCCAGCATCATTCTGGATGCTGTCACCAAGCCTGTAAGATTAGGGTGAGATTGTCAATTCTACTTCAAATCCAGAGTGATTCAAACAGCGTCTGGTGTCTAACCCTGAGGTTGGGGCTTGAGGCTTTTAGCTTAAATCCCTCTGGTGGTCTCCTGTCAGCCTCAGTGCAACTCCTCGATCACAGAGTATTGTCATCTCTCATCCAGTCACTTTTTTATTTTTTAATTTTAAAGGGGGCGGGGAACCACAGAAAACAAAAACAAAAGAAAGAAACAACTAAAACAAACAAACAAAAAACCCCATACAGTAAAATACAGGCTTTTAAAACAAGATGATAGGAATTAAAAGTGGTTGTTATATTACATATCGTTGTCTTTAAAAGACTTGTTTAGATTGCCAAATGTAAACATGCAAAATAGACAAATATATGGGTATTAACTGTTCTTTCCATGAACTAATTGTACTACTAATTCAGTAGTACAATAATCTTAGCAATATTGTATGTATGTATGTATACACACACACACACACACACACACACAAATTTATGTCTTTTCATTTTCCCTTCCTTTTTTCTCTGTTCCCCTATCCCAGTTATTCTTTCCTTTTGAGCAGTTACTTATCTCTTCACAATATCTAGTGCAGATTTTGTATCTTATTTATTCTTTCAGTTTCTTATACTAGGGAAATGACACAGTATTTACACTTGTGAGTCTGGTTTATTTCATTCATGAATATGGTCTAAAATTGCATCTATTTACCTTTAAAAGCCTCTAGTTGATACTTCTTTATAGCCAAGTAGTATTCCACTGCATAAAAACAGCACATCTTTTTTATCCATTCCTCAGTTGATGGGCATTTGGATTGTTTCCAGTTTTGGGCTGTTAAAAATTATGCTGTTATAAACATGAGTGCATATATATCACAATGGTATGATGTTTTCAGTTCTTCTGAGAAAATACCTACAAGGCGATAGTTGGGCCAAATGGGACCTCTAATCCTAGCTTTTTGAGAAATCTCCACACTGGTTTCCACCATGGTTGTACCAGTCTACATTCCCATCAACAGTGGAGAAGAGTTTGTTTTTCCTCACAACCCCTCTAGCATTTGTTATTGGTTGACTTCTTGATCTTGGCAATTCCCTCTGGACTGAAATGGAATCTGTGTTATTTTAATTTGCATATCTATAATGACCTATAATACTGAACATTTTTTCAAATATTTATTTGCCATTTTATTTCTTCATCTGAGAAACATGTATTCGTCTTAGATGCCTATTCTTGGAATGGGTATTTGGATTTTGGGGGCCTAACTTTTTCAGTTCTTTGTATGTTCTAAATAGAAGTCTGAAGGACTCTTGGCAAAAATTTTTTCCCAATCTGAGGAGTTTGTTTCCACTCTGTTATTTCTTTTGATGTGTATAAACATTTTAATAAGATGAGATCCTAGTTGCTGATTCTTTGAACTACTTCCTGTGTAGCTTGGCTTAGTTCATGAACTCTTTGCCTACCCATAAGTCTTTGAGATTTCTAACTACTTTGTCTTCTAGTAGATTTAATGTTGCTGTTTTAATATTTAGGTCTTTGATTCATTTTGCCTTTAGTTTAGAGCAAGATGATAGGCATGTGTCTAATTTAAGTTTTCAACATGCGGAAAGCAGCTTTTTCCAGAAGCAGTTTAAAGAGGCTATCTTTCTTCCAGTAAACATTTTCCTTCTGTCAAACATAAGGTGGTTCAGTGTGTTTGTACTCACGTCTATATTCTCTATTCTGTTCCATTGATCCTCAGATCTGTTTTTTGCCAATACCAACATGATTTTATTACAGAGGTTTGGAGATATAATTTCAAGTTGGGGATTGTGATGCCCTCTACTTTGTCTTTGTTGCCCAGGATTGCCTTGCAATTCTAGATCTCTTCTGGTTCCAGATGAATTTGAAGAATGTTTTATCTAGGTCTGTGAGGTATCTAAATGTTATTTTGATCAGGATTGCATTGTGTGACAGTTTTGGGAGAATGACCAGTTTCACAATGTTGATTCTTCCTATCCATAAGGAGAGAATATCTTTCCATTGTCTGAGATCCTCTTTGATCTCCTATTTTAAGAGAAACATAATTTTCAATATATAGATCTTTTACTTCCTTTGTTAGATTGAATCCTAGGTATTTTATTTTTGGATGTTATTGTGGCCAGTGTCATTTCCCTAATTTCAGTCTCAGTGACTTTGTTGTTTATATACAACAATACTATTGATTTTTGGGTGTTAACATTGTATTACAGCTACACTGAAGAATTTGCTTATTAAATCTAGCAAACATTTGGTGGAGTTTTTGAGGT